CCTCACGATAGTTATGGTGGTTATCATGCACCTCCACAATCAGGTTATGGGCAACCAACACCATATGATCAGCAGCAAGGTTATGGTTCTGCAGCAGGCTATAGTAATGTGACCAACCCAACTCAAGAGGGTCACACTCCTTCCTATGGCACCCAAGGTGATTCTGCTCAGGCACCTCAATCTGTTCAGCCATCTGTAATGGGTCAGCAAGGCCCAAGTCCTGGAAGCTATCCTCCTCAAGGAGCTACTCAGCCAGGGTATGGAATGCCTCCAGCTTCTCAAGCTGGCTATGGGAGTCAACCACCAGCTCAGTCTGGATATGGATCCAACTATGGGCCTCCACAAGGACAGAAACCTCCCCCTGTTTATGGGCAGACCCAGCAGTCACCAAGTACCCCAGGAAGCTATGGCCAATCTGCTGCGGTGCAGCCAGGATATCCCCATTCACAGCCTCCCCCATCTGGGTATGGTCAATCAGATTCAGGCCAACAACGAGCTCCACCATCTAACTATGGTGGTGCATCAGCTCAGCCAGGTTATGGACCCCCATCTTATGGGGCACCGCCAGTCAGCCATCCTGGATATGGAGCACCATACAACTCTTATGGTGGCAATTACGCACAACCTCCTACCTATTCTGCAGATGGCAGCTCAGGAGGTGGAAATCATGGGGCTTATGAATCGGCACCAGCCTCCCAGAGTGCTCAACAGAGTGTTGTTGCCAAAGCTTCTCCCAAAAGTTGATGGCCTGGGGTGATTTTGGTTCTTTAGACGTTTTAATTTGGTGGCCAATTGATTACTCCATAATCCCATTAGGGGTTAAAGTTCTGCGGTGTTTTTAAGACAGCCAGCTATTACTCCAGTATTTTGAGGCAGTGTTGTGGAAATTGGAAGGTTATGTAGTATGGTTTAGGATTATACTTATTTGCTCTAAACAGTCTTTTTGATAATTGCTTTCTTCTTCTTTTTTATTTTTTATTTTTTGGTTGAAATTTTGCCATAAATAACCCAAGAGGGGAATTAGGCGGACCATAAGCCATAACCGTTTTCTGCTTGAGAAAAAGGCAGTACCTTTCACCCGAAGTAATGATAAAAAAAAAAAGAAAAAGAAAAAGGGACTGTGTCTGTCTAGGTGACAGTTTTTCTGGTCTGCTACTGAGAATCCCTTCTGAAATGATTTATACGAGTTTTAAAAATGAGGATTTGGACGGCAGGTAACGAGTAAATGCGTGGGACGGCGAGATTTTCTGCATCCCTTCATCTAATTGTACTCTGCAAATCTGCGTCAATATTTTACTATCACTCTATAAACGATTGGGATGGACAAAGCGATAGGTTTTTCATTTTTGGACCATAGGTGTCTCTTGTCGAGTTTACGATGTACTTGGAAATGATTTCCTTCCTACACAGAACATATACGTCTATATTTTTTTAAAGGTCAGAGGTCACATTCATATATTAGGTTAGAGAAAAACTGAAAACTTTTTAAAGCTTTAAAACTTGAATTTTAAATTAAACCTTTAAAATAATTCTTACTTATTATTATAGTAGAAGTTACTACTCCTTTCATCTATGTATAATTTTTGTTTTTTTGATTTTTTTTAAAAATTAATAATTTTTGAATAATCTATGTTTTTATTTATATTATTTTTAGTTTAAGAGCTCATATGTTCATTTGGGGTAAGTTTGAAAGATTAAGAGAGGTTTTGCCCAAAAATGAAAAATTCTCAGGTGTACTCGTGAAGTGTCCTCTTGAAGCCAATATCCTTATTGGCAAATCAATTAGCAAGGTATTTTTACTTTTATTTTTACTTTAATTTTAGTTAATTTATAGTAAAAAAAGAGAATATGTAAGTAAAGATGAAGTTCAAATTTTTTAATGATAAGTAAGGAATAAAGTAATCTCAATCAAGTGTTGTGTTTATATACCTATTGCAAGTGTTGTATTTATCTACCTAAAGCCCCAAAAAGGACATAGTCTTTATAATTTGTCTCCTTTTTTTTTTCCTTGCAGTAGAAGTTTGTTTCTAATTACATTGTTCTTTGTCTTTCTTGAACATGTTTTAGGGGACTGTGCTAAGCTGCTGGTATACTTCCACCCAAAGGCATTACTAAATATGTTTCAAGCCCTCTAGTCTTTCTAAATCCGCATGTGCATACTTACAAGTTTTTTTAAGAAAACCGATCATTGATCTTGTATTGATAAAAGAGGTAAAGCACCCCTACAAAGAGATATATACTCTAATATTCTTTAGTTATTGTTTGGGCAACTTCGCTAACCTCCACTGTAGAAATCTCCGACTATTTCAACACTTGAAAAGCTCGAGGATATTTTCTCAAGGAAAATACTTTGACGCTCAAGTTAGCAACACTTTATTCTGTCAAGAGAGAGAAGCTTTCATGAAAAATATATGTAAAAAGAGAGAAGCGTAGTAAATTTATTATTTTGAATGAGGTAGATGGAGGTATTTATAACCTCTATTAAGGATTGGATATTCCATGTGTAGTCACCCAATCAACCTAGATGTCATTAATCACGTGGGGACACCTTTGTGAGCGTATCTACATTTTGGGTTACCTTTGGGTTATTTTTGACTTGACAGGTTTATATATGTAAATGGTTCTGTTGATAAGGTTTACTATAGTTGTTGGGTCTATTCCCTAACAGTTATCAACTGTTGCGACAAACAAATCCTTAAGCATACAAGGTAGCATGAAAATATTGACAACTAGAAAAGGACAAGTTTGAATCAGAAGTAGAACAAGAATGGGGGCAAAAAAGAAGCAAAGAATAACTTTAAGTACTCTTTGTATGTAGTTTAGAGTACTGTATCTTCATCGATGACTTAATTCCGGGCGTATGTAAGCTTTCGCTCTCTTCATTGATTCCTTTGGAGCTCATTAAATTGTCTTAACTTTGCCTATATATTAAAGATTGCCAAGTCATAGCTTTAGTCCATTGCTCAAAGATCGGAGATGAATATGTCAGTCCACCTAGCTAGCTTAATTTTTAAAGATATAGAAGAGGTTACATATATTGTCTAGCAATTGTCAAATCTATAATCCACAATGTAATGGTACATTCAAGGGTTAGAGTGCAAAAGCAAAGAAAAAGAAGTAATAATTGCAACAAGACGCCCATACATATCAAATACACAAAAGATGTGATTAAGAACACCTACAATCCTTGCAGCAAAGTCTGAGGGTATAATGGCTAGTACCTTTGCATTGCCATACTTTCTATAAAATGAGATCCTCCCATGACCCAGATCAGGGTAAGGAATTCACGGTCAGATTGTCCCAGCTGCTTAACATGGTTTGCATGTTGGCACGAATGGGCGGCATAGAGAAGTATCTCTATCCACATTTTCTTTATTATCTCCCATCTATCCCATGTTTGTGCCAAGTTGAGTGCTATGACTAGATTTGATGTGTACCTCTTAAGTTTATTCAATGGGTCTGGGATTCTGTCCATTTACATGCGTGAAAAACAAGAGTGTAATAGTAAAAGTAATTAACTCAACATTTATATATGTATAAATATTAAACATTAGATGATTAGTATGGACGAACCTGTGCCGTGCCTGGGGATCATCCTGGCTTAACAATAATGTCAAAGCATGATCCATATTTGATGCCTTGGAGAAAAGATCTTTAAGCTTGCGGCAAACATCATCTAGCGAGAAACTCCTACAATGCTCAGGCAGTAGCATAGCAGGTTGCAAGGCCAGCAGATACATCATATAATCTGATATATATTTGCTACTTTTCCTGTCTTCAATTAAGATACTTCGGTATAAATGCTGGACATCTTGATAGTAACAAATACTGGTGGCGAGGTGCCAGACTATGATGCTGATATCAAAGTCCAATTCAATGCTCTCTCTCAAGCTTTTGTATTGTGAATCATCAAATGATGCTTTTTCCTTGATTTTATCAAGCGTCTTTTCCCCTCTTGTTGGTTCAAAGGAAAGACCATCCTTAAAGAAGGATTCTAGACACTTGTGGTAATCCTCTTGTAGCTTTAAACTGGGTGGAACCTTCACAAACCTGGTATGGTTGAGCTTATGCAAATTTTCAAGAATATGCCTGCTAAAAACCTTTTCTAGAAAGCCATAAACCTTGGAATTCCTTGAATTCCAGTAATAATCTAACAGATTAAATTGCCCCATCCTACTGAGCCCCCTCTTCCTTCGAGGAAATGACAAGCTAGGAAAGCATTTGAAGACATACCAAAGGATTTTGCGTATGAAACGATTTTCATGAAACATCATCAGAGGTATCATCCAATGAGAACAAAACATGGAGTACACCGCAAAAAATTCCATTGTGATGGTTCCGACCAACAAGCTAATTGTTATGTGAATATCAACAATTGAGAAATGCAATTTATGCTCGTTCATGATGCGGATCAAGAAGAGCAGCAGGACCAAAAAGGAGCAGGTGAAGCTGAAGAGACGCAAAAAACATCCTGTCTTGGTATATGTCAAAGAACTTTTTGTGTAAACAATGTCAAAAATGAACTCCATTTCTGCAGCAGCCGCGTGGAAAGGATTTTCTCTTAGCTCTTTCCTTCGAAGCAACGCTTCTAGAATTAACTTCTGATGGCTAAATTCATCAGCAGCTCCAAATAAATAATTTATTATCCTTACTTTATAGGAGGGTAGATACAACTTACCACTGAAATAATCATTTGCATCTGGTCTCATAACTGAAAACAGTAAGTAGCCGAGTAGCACTTTTGTGGACTCTGGATATTCTCTTATAAAGCGAACAATGAATTTGCTCATCTCGAACCCCAGATCATGAAACATGGAGATGACAGGTTCTGTTTTCTTAGAGTTAGTCCGCTCAAGACACAAAATCCTCTCTACATATTTAACTATTCCAGCTAAAATGAGAGGAACGGTCAATATGGAAAGCAAATGATAGGTCCATATTGACAAATAGATGACATAAATGGCAAACATGGATTGCACTAATAAAGTAAGGATGTGTCTAGTCCAGAGCTGAGTATCTTGCAAAGCATAAGCAGTAATGGTATCGGGGCCACCGAGGTGCAGTATTAGTATTGGAGCCCATAGTGCTCTTAGAACATTTTTTGGGGGAGATAATGCACGAGCATTAGAGAGCTTACCAAGAGCAGCAATGGCGACCCAGTCCGCGCTTGTGTAGGCAAACCAAAGAATCATTCTGCAAATTCGGCCAACACGGCCAACATTGTACCTTCTGCGTGTGCCTAAGATGTAGAGGGCTATTTGCAAGAGCAAGCTCAGGAGAACCATCCCCCTCACATCCCATTCACTCCATATCCTCCGCAACAAATTTGTCAAAGTGCTCGCAACTGACGATGCCACCTTCGCTCTGTTAATATATCCATACCAACAAAACATATATATATGTTAATCATACAAATATTTTACATGAATTAAAATGTTTATAATTGATATTTTATTAATGGACTTACCTTCCAACCATTGTGGCGTAGGAGCCGATACCGAAACACCGATTTTGGCGAGATTTAGAATCCCACTATGATGAATTCGATTGCCAGGTTCACCACTTATGTTGGCAAGATCTAAAATACAGAGATAAATTGAGAGAATCCACTCTCAAAAAACTTACTCAAAAGAGGAGAAATATAAATTAAAATTTGATTGAAAACTTCATACGTACAATGGTGATAACATGGCTATTTATAGGCAAAATATAACGAAAGGCAATAAATGAAAAGTAAAGTGCAGTTGGGAGTTAGCAGTTTTGTAGAATTTAGTGGCCGTTTTTGTTGACTTGTGGCCATGTTGACAAAGTTGCACCGGCCTAGTGGTGCTGCAGAGTAGCTTCGGCATGCTTGTTGTTTTTTTCCCGGTGCATTAATGGCATGGTGCTTTCCCCCGGTGCATTCTCCCTTGGTTGGAGAAAACTCGTCCTTGAGTTTGAGTTCAATGCTCATGATCCTCATAGTAAGGAGATAGGTCGACTACATTGAAAGTAGCAGAGACTCCATAGTCACCTGGAAGTTTGATCTTGTAGGCATTATCATTGATTTTCTCCACTATCTGAAAA